TCAAATGGGCCACGCCAATCAATCCCCGCAGGGAGCCTCGCGCATGCCGCAGACATCCAAGAAAGCCTCAGTTTTTGCAAATGGACACGCCAATCAATCCCTGCAGAGAGTCGCGCGCGCACCGCAGAAAATCGTAAAAAGTTGTTTGCGCGTCGACCGCGCCAATCCCCGCAGAGGGTCGCAGGGACTCGACCGCGGCAATGTCCGCAGAGGGTGTCATTTTCGCAGAGTGGGTTTGGCCCCAGCGCGCCGCCTTCAGAGACTAACTACTCACTTGCGTGTGCGCGTGTCTCGTACGAACTTTCTCGTGCTAGTTGGCTCGTGCAAGTTTGACTGTGCGAGCTTTCTCGTGCGAGTTTGGCCGTGCGAGAAACACTCGTGCAAGTTGGCTCGCTCAAGTTTGGCGGGCGGCGCGAAAAGTTATCTTGCAAGTTGGCTTGTGCAAGTTTGGCTGTATGACAAGGCTGGCGATTCAACCGGGAGAAGGATGCTCCTCAGGAACACATAAGGCTCATGGTTCTCCAGTAAAATAGCATGGGGGTGGGGGAAGGGATTAGCCTGACTGGCGGGATCTTGCAGGCTAAGGCGGGTCTTCTGAAGTTACGATTCTCAACAATAAGGCCTTGGACTTAGCAGTGATTGCGTTTTCGTTATCGCCCCTAGCTTATCAACCCCTATTTCTGAGGGGGATCTGAAGTTAGATGGTTCTGAGTTGGCCAGTTTGGTCAGCTGGTCGGCGAGGTGCTTGGGAAGTTCCCGGCCCTGGCACACCTGGATGGCACTGCGCGGCACCAGTCCGTCAGCCAACAGGACCCAGCGAGAACTGATGTTCCAAGCGTTTCTAAGGACTCAGAGGCCCTAACGCACGACATACCCATAGACTCATACACACACACACACATGTGACCCCTGCCGAGAAGAACCAAGAGTCTTGCCGCAGTGGCAAGCTGGATTTTGTACGTATAATCGTCAACCCCATCAATGGCAATGATTTGTGGATGGATTTCAATAAGGCGCGGGATCCCCACGCAGGACACACATGACGTATTTTAGAAGCACTTGTTGCATCTCATGCACTTCACACAGCGCACGCGCTATATCCAGCGCACGGCTGTATGTAACACACTGCACGCGGCACATGTTCTTTGTGCATTGCATACATGCATGCACACACGCACGCACACACACGCAAACATGCAAACACACAAGCGCACAAACACACACACAGACACACAGAAAAAACACACACACACACACCCACACACCCACCCACCCACCCACACACAACCACACACACAACCACGCAAAACACACACCAACACGCACACCCACACACACAAGCGCAAGCGCAAGCACACGCACAAGCACGAGCGCAAGCGCAAGCACAAGCGCAAGCGCAAGGACAAGTACAAGCACAAGCACAAACACGCACAAACACGCGCACACACGCAGAAGCACACGCACACGCACACGCACGCACAGAGACACAGACACACAGACACACAGACGCACAGACACACAGACACACAGACACACAGACACAAAGACACACAGACACACAGACACACAGACACAGACACACAGACACACAGACACAGACACACAGACACACAGACACAGACACACAGACACAGACACACACAGACACACACAGACACACACAGACACACACAGACACACACAGACACACACAGACACACACAGACAGACACACACAGACACACACAGACACACACAGACACACACAGACACACACAGACACACACAGACACACACAGACACACACAGACACACACAGACACACACAGACACACACAGAGACACACAGAGACACACAGAGACACACAGAGGCACACACAGAGACACACAGAGACACACAGAGACACACAGAGACACACAGAGACACACACAGAGACACACAGAGACACACAGAGACACACAGAGCACACACACAGAGACACACAGAGACACACAGAGACACACAGAGACACACAGAGACACACAGAGACACACACAGAGACACACAGAGACACACAGAGACACACAGAGACACACACAGAGACACACAGAGACACACACAGAGACACACAGAGACACACACAGAGACACACAGAGACACACAGAGACACACAGAGACACACAGAGACACACAGAGACACACACAGATACACACACAGAGACACACACAGAGACACACACAGAGACACACACAGAGACACACACAGAGACACACACAGAGACACACACAGAGACACACACAGAGACACACACAGAGACACACACAGAGACACACACACAGACACACACACAGACACACACACAGACACACACACACAGACACACACACAGACACACACACAGACACACACACACAGACGCACACACAGACGCACACACAGACGCACACACAGACGCACACACAGAGACACACACACAGACACACACACACAGAGAAACACACAGAGACACACACACAGAGACACACACAGAGACACACACA